TAAAACAAAGACCCTTAATACAGGCGATCCTAAGTGCAACGAAGTTGCCTCTACCAAGAAAATTTGGGAACGCCTTCAACTTTTTTGTCCGTGTGCCGGCACGAAGTGTGGCGTCAGAGTTTCCATAGTACAAGAAAATGGAAGGGAAACAGTGAGTAGTCTTGCCAAACTGATGGAGAGCCGTGTGCTTGGAAATCTTGCACGTACGAGATCCAATGTCTCTTCTTGCGTGGACTCACTAAAGTCAGGCCTTCGGCTTCGCCCACTTCGTGTCCTGAGGTTGCCTGGAAGTCCACGGGGGAAACTGGTCACTTGATCCAGTGAAACCCCGCCAAATAGGTAAGAGAACTCAAAGCAAGTAGAGTTAGTGAGCCGTGTAATGGGCAACTATTTCGCACGGTTCGGAGGGCACTTCAGTAAGTCTGTGCAAATCAGATTGAAGTTTTGACCCCTATCCCTTTTGATGATGCCAGAAGTCGTTTTGATATACGATTTTACCTTGTGTCTATTTTATTTCTTATTTTTGGGGCGACCGTTTGAGTCACCGTATGAACTGCTCATTTGTACAATCAATATGTCAAATAAATGAGACGTTGTAGCCTTGTTTGTGGGCTCGGGAAGGGAAGCTGACAAACAGCTTCGCTTCGCGCCTTCCGACTCTTAATTGTCCGGAATCAATCTCACGTGTAGCTAGAGTATTGATTTCCTGACCTTGCACTGTGCTCAGCAGACGCTTCGCGTCTGATCTGATGCCAGATAAGAGAATCGCAAATATCTGGAAAAAGGCTAGAGGTGTGTCTTGTCTAGGCTGAGCACTTCGTGCCTTCTACGGCCTTAGTGAGCAATAAAACAAAATCATCTGCTGACGTAAAATTTCTGTTTTGCTGAACGAAGGCCTTGCCTTCGCATTTGTTTGTTTCTTGGAGATCCGTCATTCTGGAGGAGCTGTGGATTTAGCTATTTTAAGTCTTCATTTATCGGGTGTTTCCTCAATATTAGGTGCTATCAATTTCATTACGACTATTTTTAACATGCGTGGCCSAGGAATGACCATGCATAGATTACCTCTATTTGTTTGGTCTGTGCTAATTACAACTTTTCTGCTTTTATTGTCACTTCCAGTATTAGCAGGTGCTATGTCAAGGGCTGGTAAGGTTTTGCGCGTTGTGTCGAATTAAACCACATGCTCCACCGCTTGTGCAGGCCCCCGTCTATTCCTTTGAGTTTCAGCCTTGCGACCGTACTCCCCAGGCGGAGTGTTTAACGCGTTAGCTAGGTCCCTCATCGAATCGCCCCCAAAAACCACCGGGCGTAGACCAAGGACCAACACTCATCGTTTACGGCATGGACTACCAGGGTCATTTTGAATTTAAATAAAAAATGGACTATATCATTCTCTGAGTTTTTGTTTTGATTGCAATATCAAGTCAATCTGTTTCGAAAATCTAGGATTCAATAATTTCATCTCAGAGATCCAGCGTTGTTGAAATTTAGCATCTAACCTACAATATCAATGTTATGAGCGGTGCGTTTGAACCAATTAAACTATAAGCCCAGGAACTTGCTTCAGAAACAACAAAACTAACTCAAGGGTGGTACCCATAAGGCCAGGATTTCCCGGCCATTTTTTACGGGTACATAATTTCATTAAAACACGAATAGAGTCAAGAGTTCCACCAAAACTAACTCAAGGGTGTCACCCGTAAGGCCAGGATTTCCCGGCCATTTTTTACGGGTACATAATTTCATTAAAACACGAATAGAGTCAAGAGTTCCACCGCTAGGCTCAAAGAAAGAGTCGAGCCTAGACGGTCGTAACAAGTGCTTTCCAAACCGTGCGAGATGGTCGCCCATCACACGGCTTTCCAACTCAAGTTGCCTTATTATTATATAAATAAAATAAATAAATAAGCCAGAGTGGCCTTCGCGCCCTTATTTGACTCATTCTGACCCGCGCGCGTTATTTCTTATTTATAAGTTCACCAAAGGAAACAGCGTCCGTCCCTCAAACCCTCCTCCCCGCCACCCACCATACCCTCAACCCCCCAACCCCCAGTGAAAACACTGCCTTCGATCAAAGCACCCAATCAAAGCACTGCCAGCAACCGCAGGCCCTCAAACCCACGATACAGAGAAGATTAACAAGGCCCCTTCACGACGATGACACGCTTCAATCGAGATATGGACCATAAAAATAAAAATGAGAGAGAGAGAGAGAGAGAGAGAGAGAGA